ATCAATGAGTAGGCTAAGGCCCAGGTGGTGATCCTGAGCTTGTGAAGGACCACGTAGTACAGCTAGGCTTTCCAAGCCTCTTCTATTTTACTAGTTGTCTGTACTCAGACAAGCTACTTCCGCTGCTGGTTTGTATGACTGTATGACTTGAATGCTGGGTCATGTGACCCGTACCTATGTGTATGTTATGTATGGCTCTCTGAGCCTTAAATAAAGTACTTGTGTCGTAGAGTCATGTTGTGATGCCCTGTTGTATTTGCACATATCGAGCATATTGTGTGTATGTTATTGAAATACTTGGTATGTGTGGGATCTGACTATCTAGTTGTTTATATTTAGTAGCCTCTCTTAACGGGAAATGTCTCCTAGTGTTACCGCTGAGCCATGGTAGCTTGCTACTGCTCTGGAACACTTAGGCTGGCCGGCATGTGTCCTTCTTCATTCCCGTGTCTGTCCCTTCGGGGAAATGTCACGCATTGAGTACCGGAGTCCTGTTAGCCCGCTACAGCCCGGTTTACCGGAGTCCTGCTAGCCCAGTGCTACAGCCCGGACCCACTTGCTGATGACCGGCACGTTCGAAGCTGGGTCATGGATGCCTGTCCCTGTAAGTCTGTGCCACTTTGGGTTTACGACTAGTCATGTCAGCCCGGGCTCCTTATCATATGGATGCTAGCGACACTATCATATACGTGAGCCAAAAGGCGCAAACGGTCCCGGGCAAAGGTAAGGCGATACCCGTGGGGATACCGTGCGTGAGGCCGCAAAGTGATATGAGGTGTTACAGGCTAGATCGATGTGACATCGAGTCGGGGTCCTGACAGGGTGTTAAACTTTCTCGGAATGGACCGAGATTTGCCAAGCGGCCTTGGTACACCACCGGTAGACTGCCTGTCAAATTTCGTGTCATTTGTAGTTCGTTTGATACTCCAACGGTTAACTGGGATAACCGTAAAGGCCTCGGGTGTGTTGCAGCCCAACACCCCTCCAAAACGGCCCAATAACCCTTCCAAACCCCTTCCATGTCCTCCGTCATCGGATCACGATCGCGTGGTCGAAAACTACACCCCATTTCGACACTCCAAACTCCTCCTACCTATAAATATGTCCTCCTCGTCCAAAACCCCAGATGAAACCCTAGCAAATTCCCCTCTCCGCCGCTGGACAAAATCCCCACCGACGGACATGTCCGCCGTCCTCGCCGCCGCCACGTGTCTCCTCCTGGTTCGTTGAGACGCCGCTCCCACTTCGCCATCCACCCGCGCGCCGGCCCGCCGGGGCCCAGGCGGGGCCCTCCCAGCCCGCGTGTCCGCCCGCCGCCGCCCGCGAGCCGCGCCTCCCAGCGCCGACCTCCACCGCCGCGCTCCAGCTCCACCGCGCCAACTCTGGTCGGCCGCCTCCGCGTCAGAGCGCCGCCACGGCGCACCTTGCCGCGCCTCTCTGCCGGCGCGCGCCCACGCCAACTCCGACCCCCTCGCCGCCATCTCCTCCATCGCCGCCCCGGCTCCACTCGACGCCGGCGACCTTGGATCCGGCAAGTCCCTCTTCTCCGGCGAGACCCAACGCAACTCCAGCCATCTTCCGGTGATCCTCGTTTTCTGTGCCACGAAACCCTAGATCCAGTCTGGAGGGGTAAATTTCCACTAAGTCTTTATCTCTGCAACATTTTCAGGCTATGTTCAACATGCCATAACTCGGTGACCGTAGCTCCGTTTCATGCGCATGATATATCAAAATGTTCATCATGATGTGCTATTAATTTCATTCCATTGTGTCATGCTTGTTTGAGAAGATGCCCAAATCACTGATGCAAGAGTGCTATAAATTGTTAGGTGTTGTTTCTTATCAGAGTATGAGGATTTATCATTTTTGCCACATTTGTTGTGTGCTGCATATGGGCATGAGCTCTACATGTGTTTTAGACTATGCCATGCCATATTTACAGGGGTGCTAGCCATCTATTTTTGTGATCTATGTGGTGACTAGCACAAGCATGCAAAGTAGCCTTCGTGATATTGCTGATTTCAGAGACTTTTACCAAGTCTTTTCCCTGTTGTTATTTTTATGCCATGTAACCATGATGCTATAGTGAGATCTATTCTTGTTTTGAGTTGCTTCAGTAAGGATGATTTGAACATATGGTTATGCTCTATCCATCCATGCCCCTATTTGCAATTATGGAGTGCTCTAGCATGTCTTAATCTGGCTCTACTTTTGCTATAAAATGTTCCTGGCAGATTGTTTACATGTTAATCAATTTTGCCATGGTTTTTATTGTTGATACATGCACGCTATGAACTTGCTCTTGCCATGGTTAGCTTCATGAACATGTCTTCTTGCTTTTAGTATGCTTGTCTTGTCATGAAATGCTTTGTGATGAGTGATTTGAGCTCGCAAAGATGCCTTCATAATTCTGTTTATGTCATGCTCTATTTTTCTGCTAAGTCTGAATCTGTTAATAAAACTTGCTATGTTTACATGGGTGCCATCATCTCTTCTGTGCCTTTTTGGCTCATGGTCAGTAAGGGACTTTTGTTCTATGCACTTAGTAGATTCATGACATGCCTTGGTTTGCTATGATATGTCCCTGTAGCATGTTGTTTGCTAGCTCTAAACATTGCCTCCTGATGTTAATTCCTGGCATGTTGATATTTTCACTAAGTCTGTGATGCTGGTATCTTTTGCAGTTTTGCCATGCTTGTTTGAACCTGCACTTGTGTGAATTAGCTGTATATCAGTGTTCATGTTTTGTCAAGCATCTTGAGTAGATCACTGCCTTGTGCTTTGTTGCTATGTTGGAGTGCAGTAACTTAGTTTCTTGTTGCATCCTAGATGGCATCATGTTGTTAATCGCAGAATTGTGTCATTCTTGTTTTGCTTGCCAATTGCAAACCGTGCATCCGATTCCGGTGATCTTTATATCGATTTCGACCGAAATCATCTCATCTTTCCAGCGGCACACTTGGTTTGCCAAGTTGATGCCTTGATCAATCTTTCCCTTCCAAATCACGCATATGCATTGCATATCACATCCCGCATGTCATGCCATGTTTTGCATCATGTTGCTTGTTCATTGCACCGTGGTTGATTGTTGTTCCTTTGCTTGTGTTCTTGCTTTGGGTAGAGCCGGGAGACGTGTGCGTGATCGAGGAATCTATTGAGTACGCTTACGAGGATCAAGCTTTCGTCAACTCTGAGAACTTTGCAGGCAAGATGACCATGTCCTCGAAATCACTTCTATATTTGCTTGCTAGTTGTTCGCTCTATTGCTATGCCGCAATACCTACCACTTGCTATATCATGCCTCCCATATTTCCATGTCAAGCCTCTAACCCACCTTTTCCTAGCAAACCGTTGTTTGGCTACGTTACCGCTTTGCTCAACCCCTCTTATAGCACTGCTAGTTGCAGGTGATGTTGAAGTTTGTTCCTTGTTGGAACATGGTTATTGTTGGGATATCATTATTATATCTTATTTACTTTAATGCATCTATATACTTGGTAAAGGGTGGAAGGATCGGCCTTATGCCTGGTGTTTTGTTCCACTCTTGCCGCCCTAGTTTCCGTCATACCGGTGTTATGTTCCTTGATTTTGCGTTCCTTACGCGGTTGGGTGTTATGGGAACCCCTTGACAGTTCGCCTTGAATAAAACTCCTCCAGCAAGGCCCAGCCTTGGTTTTACCATTTGCCACCTAAGCCTTTTTTCCTTGGGTTCCGCGGACTCAAGGGTCATCTTTATTTTAAACCCCCTGGCAAGTGCTCCTCTGAGTGTTGGTCCAAACTAGGTGATGTCCGGTGCCCCCTGGGCAACCAGGGTTTATGCCAACCCGATGTCTTGCCCATCCGGTGTGCCCTGAGAACGAGATATGTGCGACTCCTATCAGGATTTGTCGGCACATCGGGTGGCTTTGCTGGTCTTGTTTTACCATTGTCGAAATGTCTTGTAACCGGGATTCCGAGTCTGATCGGGGTGTCCTGGGAGAAGGAATATCCTTCGTTGACCGTGAGAGCTTGTGATGGGCTAAGTTGGGACACCCCTGCAGGGTTTTGAACTTTTGAAAGCCGTGCCCGCGGTTATGGGCAGATGGGCATTTGTTAATGTCCGGTTGTAGAGAACTTGACACTTAACTTAATTAAAATGAATCAACTGCGTGTGTTGCTGTGATGGTCTCTTTTCGGCGGAGTCCGGGAAGAGAACACGGCCTCGTGTTATGCTTGAACGTAAGTACCTTCAGGATCACTTCTTGATCATTATTAGCTTCTCGACCGTGCCTTGCTTCTCTTCTCACTATCTTTTGCGTAAGTTAGACACCATATATGCTAGTGCTTGCTGCAGCTCCACCTCACTACCCTTTTCCTACCTTTAAGCTTAAATAGTTTTAATCACGAGGGTGTGAGATTGCTAAGTCCCCGTGACTCACAGATACTTCCAAAACAGATGCAGGTGCCGATGATGCCAGTGCAGGGGACGCTACCGAACTCAAGTGGGAGTTCGACAAGGATTTGGGCCGTTACTATGTTTCTTTTCTGGATGATTAGTAGAGGAGCCCAGTTGGGGCGATCGGGGATCTAGCATTTGGGGTTGTCTTTCTTTATTTTGGTTCTGTAGTCGGACCTTGATTGTATTCTGCATGATGTATGATATATTTATGTATTGTGTGAAGTGGCGATGGTAAGCCAACTCTTTATCCATTTCTTATTCAATACTCCCTCCGTCTGCTAGAAAGTGTGCGTCTGGCTCGAGTATTTTTCCCAGAATAAGTGTATGTCTGGCTCCGCGGCAATCCATCGAGGTAATTTTGCATTCACCCCCTTGGTCTATGCCTCGAGGCAACCGCAGCAGTCGACCACCCAATCCACTCGTTTTCTCCCACAACGACCCGATCCACTCGTCCTCCCCCCAAATATTTCCCCAATCTTCCTCCTCTCCCAGAACGCCTCTCCTCCCCCGATCCAATCCCAGTTCGCTAGGAGTCAATCCTCCAATCCAAGGCAGTCGCTGGTCATCGAGAGAGTAATGGCGGCCAGTCTATATAAACTCCTAGTACGGTGTGTGCCTCACTGGAGCCATGGCGGCAGTGGAGCGGGCGGCAGAGCAGGCGGTGGAGCGGAAGCCGATGATGGCCGCGATGGCCGGCGGCGCTACACGCGACCGCGGAGGATCTGGTTCTGGAGGCCCTCATCGTGCTCGTGCAGTCAAGTTTCGAGTGCGTACGCCCTCGTACATCCTTCAGTGGCGGAGATTCGGTTGCGGCGCCAAGATCCTTGACCTGGACGAGGACATAGGGGCTGATGGTGAAACAGGTGTAGGCCATGGAGGCGCCGTACCCGGTGCTGCAGCGGGTCATGCGGCTAACCAGGTCAACGCGGCAGCAGGTACTAACCAGGTCGATGGCACGCGGCATCAGTGCGTCTTGGAGCTGACCATGATGGAGCGGCCGCAGGTGCTGGGAATGTAGCGGAGAAGATGAGCAAGCACTTCTAGCTTCGTAAGTTGGCTGGATGCAAAATCTTCAATTTGTTTGACTTGTAGTTTGGCTGGATGTAGCAAGTATGGCTGCATATTTTTATGTTCTGCAAGTATGAAAATCGATTCGTACTATTGGAGTATGGCAGATATTACTACTATGGATGATCTATTGTTATGGTGATTAGTGTCCTGGTCTCTAAAGATAATTTTTTGTTATGAATGATCTATTGTTATGGTGATTAGTGTCCTGGTCTCTAAAGACAATTTTTGGTTATGGATGATCTCTTGTTATGATGCATAATTTCAGATTTTTTATTCTGTTCCAATTTTAAGTTGGATAAATAATTGGATAGACAAAAGATAAAAATTACTCTTGCCATGGATTGGATAGACAAAAGATCAATTCCTTGTCCCTATAGCTACTTCGAATGATGATGAAAATTACATTCTTTATTTGACATGAAAATTACTCTGGCCATGGATACTAGATGACGGATAATTTGCATTCTTCATTTATGATTTAGATGATGCATGGCCAGAGTAATGCTGGAAGTGGCATGAAAATTACTCGATGCTAGATGATGCATATTTTTAGATTTTCATTGTTGTTCCAATTTTAAGTCGGATAAATAATTGGATAAACAAATGATGAACTCAATAGTAGTTGGATAAACAATTTCAACCCAATGTCCAGCATTACAAAAGTTGCCGCATCTAATATTACAACTTCTAGTTGGCTGCATGACGCTCTCATATAGTTCGCGATCATAGTCTAAAACATTAGGAAGATTTCCTGCCCGTTCTAGGCCATCCTTGTACATGTGAAGGATCTTGTAGTCGTTGCCTCCACCTCTCTTCATGGCCTCAATTAAGCATCCTTGTAGTGTTAGGAAAATTATGTTTATCTTATTAGCATCATAGGCATCATATTCATGCTGCACATTGTTGATTAGCTCATCTAAATTGTTAGACACCAGCGTATCCAATATGGACTGTAGTGAAGAAAATAGGCCAAGGTCTAGGCAATTCATATCGGGTGAGTTCGAGGGTTGTTGCATTAGGCGAATATCAAGCCAAGTTTGGGCAACAACATTAAGGAAACCTGGATCATTACTTGGGACATGTGTGGCCGCATTGTCTTGCTGGATCCATATGGTCTCACCTACGAGCTCTTGAGGCCAAACTGCTTGAATAGTTGGTAGTACCTTTTCAATCAAAATTTGCCTCGACGTTTCTCTCTTTACTGAGATTGTTTTGGTGATTAGTGTCCCTCTTGGACGGTAATCACTTTTCCTTGGCGCTGGCTCCTACAAACAACAACCCAAATCAAGTTAGATTAAGTATTGATGTTCATAATTAATAAAAGAATTAAAGGTTGAAATTCACCTTTTCGATAAAGGGCCAAATGCCTATCTTCACATCAAAATGCAAATACCTTCTGCATTGTATCTAGGCCTGGCGATAGCAACCAAAAACATGATTTTGCCAATGGAGTTCTTATTTTGCACAGTCCTATGTGGGTCTTCTTCTGATGGCAGCTTATAGAATTTCATGGTCTTCTGAGTAGTGTTAAACCACTTTTCATCTATATGGATTATGTTTCGCATATCCCTGAACGTGGGTCTATTTTGCAAACTTTGCTGGTCAAACATAGAGAGACAAAACTGCAGCCTGGCCTTTTTGTTTGATTCCTTCAAATATGGTTTGAGTGAGATTGAATGCCTATCGAGCAAGCCGTCCATAAACATCCTATGTAGTGTGCTTTTCTTCACACCCAAAGCTCTTGCGAGGCTGCGTATAGTTCTCCTTTGACTCTGAGGAATCTCAGCAACCATATTGAGGTCAACTACAATCCTTTTACGCCCACTGTTTTTCGGCCTCCTAGATCTTACATCAACGGGTACGCGTTGTCGAAGACACTCCTTCGCTCTCCTCCAAACACGCCTGACCTTGTGCACTGAAACATGGAACATGTTTGCAACTTCTCTAGTAGTGGTCTTCTTTAATTTCCGATGGACACTTCTTGCTAGCAATTCTTCATAAATGCCAGTCCTTTGCAAATCTGTTAAATTCTTGTACTTGTCTTCATCTTGAACTTGCTCATTATCTTGTTCCTCTTGCTCGACATGCATGTCTTGTTCTGGTGCTGAATCATACATGGCTTCATCTCGTTCTAAATCATCAAGCTCTTCTTCCTCAAACTGAATCTCTATGTCGCCTGCATATGCACCGTAGTCCTCCTGGTCAACTTCAAGGTTATGTAGAGCTTCATTCATTGCTTGCACTTCCTCTTCTATGCTCTGGAAAACACCACCTTGTTCTTCAAGATCATCGTCTACAAGATCAGGATTAGCTACTGCATGCAAAAGAATTAAACAAGAAGAGTTGAATAGATCAGCAAAGAGTACCTGGGTCCATGTTTAGATCAAAGTGATGTCCGGGCTGGAGTTCCTCATGCAAGGCAGCTTCAAGTTCATCATCTACAATGTGAGATTTTGTGATTAGTTGGGTATGATTGTAATTAAACATTCAAATGTGCTATTACTAAATTTTGTACTAACCTGATTCATCCGATTCATGCAGATCATCTCCATGGGCAACATGGGGCTGATGTTCATCTTCTACCTCAAAGCACCATCATGATTAGCTACTGTATGCAAAAGAATTGAACAAGAAGAATTGAACAGATCAACAAAGAGTACCTAGGTCCATGTTTAGATCAAAGTGGTGTTCAAGCTGGAGTTCATCATGCAAGGCAGCCTCATCTTCTTCCTGTAGAGGTTGCTCATGCAAGGCAGCTTCATGTTCTTCCTCATTTGGTGCTGCTATGTTCAAGTACATGTCCATGGATAGTGTGTGTGGTGTACTGTTTGCTTCATGTGAGCTACCTTTTGTAGCTGGATTAGACGCTTGGGTTCTAATTTCTCTGGCGCCAAGTAGTACTATTGTTACTTTAGTAGTTTAAATGGCAGGAACAGTGAAAGTGGAGCTCAACTCTCTGGCGCCAAGTACTTTCTGGTATTTTGGATTGATTTTTGCTTCGTGTTGGCATTAACTATACACTTGAATCGAAGCAACACCACAACTGCCAGTAGCTTAAATGAGGGGTGGAAGGGGGTTTCTACAAAATTCCTAAATTTGTCTTGAAACACCCAAACGCACACTTTCTAACGGACGGAGGGAATACATGGGATGTGTAAAGATTACTCCTCTTGCGACATGCCTACCATGCGGTTATGCCTCTAAGTCGTGCTCCGACACGTAGGAGATATAGCCGCATCGTGGGTGTTACAAGTAGATGACGGGAGAAAGGCGCCTACTCCTCGTGGAATGTATCCGGTGCACCCAATTTTGTGGTGCTATTGCTTCACCCGATGTCGTAGAATATTTTTAAAAACTGAAGAGAAAATTACACATTGGTGCAACATCAATGTATGTTGTCATAAAATTTCGTATCAAAATTTGCAACGTTTTTTGAGATAAAAAAATTAGCAACCTTGACATCAGTGTGATAATGGGCCGATTCTAAGACCTAACTTATGTGATGTACTATTTAGTTTGAATTTATCATTTTTGTTTTCAAAGCTATGTTTCGAATTCTGACTTGAATTTTTGTGACAACCTACATTGTCGTTGTGTGGTTGTGCTAAAAAATTTCAGAATTTTCAAAACAAAATAAAATGTGCAACGTGAATTCGGTGCATCGTTAGCACCACAACCACCGGTGCACCAGACATTCTCCCAGCAGCAGCGATGTCGTGGTGGGCTCATGGCAGATGCTATGGGATGGCTAAAGAGAAGGACAGGCAAGAGGCAACCGGTGGGCTCCAGAGGCGAGGTTGGTACGAGCGAGCGTGAGACACAAGACGTACCCAGGTTCGGGGCTCTCCGAAGATATAACACCCCTAGTCCTGCCGAGTGTGGTTTATATGAGGATGGTACAAGTTTGCTCCTAGAGCTGTTTTGGGGAGGAAGGAAGGCATACCAATGCAAAAGATGCTCCTTCTCCGTGTGTGTGTGTGTGTTCTACTGATGATCGATCGACCCTTTGCATGGAGGAGCACCAAGGGGTTCTTATAGGCTGGCCCCCAGGGTTACAATGCGAAAGTTACATGGGCGCGGGGCCGGGATATCAGTGTCTAGGAGCCGGCAGTGGGGGTCACCGGGGCGCACGGTCTACCGGGTGCGGGCCGTACGAAGCCCGCCAGGCACGGGTACAGCCGGCTGTTGGGTACTATAGGCACGTCGTGCCAGACGTCATGGGACAGCTGCACCGTCTTACTATAGGGTTGCGCCTCTAAGACGCTGCCCGCGCCAGGCGGTTGCTTGGTCGGCACGATAACCGCGCCCGCTGGGGTCCGCGTAAAGGGGAGCGCACTGTAGCCATGCTCCTTTGTCGATGGAGGTTTGTCTCATGGGAACCGGCCGTAGACCCTCTCCCTGTTTTGCGCGCGGCCCATTTTTTCCTTTTCTTTTTGTAACCTTCAAAACATATGTGTGAGAAGTAGGATTCGAATCCTCGAGCACTTGGTTTACTTCGACCCACCGTAACCAACTCTGAAAGCTCATTTGCTACATGTGGGCACTTCTTCTTCCCTTCTTGTTGCGTCTTCTTCGTCTCTTTTTCTTGTTCGCTTTATCTCTGGTTTAATTCATAATTTTGTTATTTCTTCTTTTTTTGCCTTTTATTCTTCATTTTCTTAAATTCATGAACTTTTTTAACAATCTTTAACGTCTTCAAGTTTCTAACTGTTTTTTAAATCCATGAACATTTTCGTGCATTCGTGGATTTTTTTTCAAATCCGTGAACTTTATTCAAAGGCATGAATGTTTTTTAATTTCACTTTTTCAAATTCATGAACTTTTTTCACTCAAGTTTGTGATTTTGCTTTCAAATAGATGAACTTTTTTTAATTTCCTCAAGTTCGTTCAAAT